GGGGGGGGTGGATGTGGGTGTGGTTGGGTGTGGGTGTGGGTGGGTGCGGGCGTGGGGTATGGGTGTGGGTGTGGGTGTGGGTGTTGGATCTTACCCATACTCCCACCAACACTCACACTCCACACCCCACACCTACACCCCACATCCACCTGCACCCACACCCACACCCAACCACACCCCACACCCACCCACACCCACACCCACACCCACGCACAGTCACAGCCACACCCACAGCCACACCCACCCACACCCACACCCACACCCACACCCACACCCACACCACACCCTCATATGACATACCTGAATATGCTGGTAAGTAAGATAATTCACATGGAATAATATTTTGACACTAATATCTTTTATTTGTATTGATATCAATCAATTAACTTCATATGTAAGACCAAACTAGACCTCTACCCGGCCCAAGGCCGGGTAGAAAAGTCGGCTGACTGCAGAGCTCGGAAAATATCAAAACCTGGTCCTATACGACATCTACTATTTCTATACCCAAGAGTTGTGTAGAGGAAATCATAATGAATCTGAATCGTAGATTTCCATATAAGGAAGCTCTCAGCTGTTCATGATCGCTCATCGTCTCATCTGTCTAAACCATGAAGAGATTTTTTTAAATGCTAGAGACTTCTTCGTGGATGAATTTCAGCTATGCAAAACGATAATTAAAGTATATATGCACATAAGATCTAAGATATGAATGGTCTTTTAAGACTGAATCACGCATACCCATATAAGGAAATTATCAGCTGTTAATTATTCATTTTCACCATTCGTATATCTTCCGAACGCTGCCGAATTTCGAAAAACGGATTTCAGATGTGCACTCGTCACGTTCTCAGGATCTCGCCAAACTTTTTTTCGACTGAAAATGATAATCAGGAGCTGAGAACGAGTGGCTGACTTGAATCGTGACTCATGTGTTGAGAAGAAGAAGAAGACTAGACCTCTACCCGGCCGAAGGCCGGCTAGAAAAGTCGGCTGACTGCAGAGCCCGAAAAATATCGAAATCTAATGCCATACGACATCTACTATTTCTGAACTTAGCATTGGTCTAGAGCAAAACATGATGAATCTGAATCATAGATTTCATCATAAGGAAGCGGTCAGCTGTTCATTATCGTTCTTCATAGCTCATCTGTTTAAACCATCAAGAGATTTTTTTAAATGCTTGAGACTTCTTCATGGATGAATTTAAGCTATGTGAAACGATAATTAAAGTACATATGCACATAAGATCTAAGATATGAATGGTCTTTTAAGACTGAATCATGCATAACCATATAAGGAAATTAACAGCTGTTAATTATAATTTTTGGCAATATTTATATCTCCTGAACGGTATCGAATTTCGAAAAACGGATTTCAGATGTGCACTCGTCACGTTCTCAGGATCTCGACGATTTTTTTTCGAACGAAAATGATAATCGGGAGCTGAGAACGAGTGGCTGACTCGAATCGTGACTCATGTGTTGAGAAGAAGAAGAAGAAGAAGAAGAAGAAGAAGACTAGACCTCCACCCGGCCTGAGGCCGGCTAGAAAAGTCGGCTGACTGCAGGGCCCGAAAAATATCGAAGAATAATTCTATACGACATCTACCATTTCTAAACCTAACGCTCCTCAAAGTTTTTAAATGTTTGACAACAATATTTAGATAAATACAATTTGTATAAAATGATGAATAGCTATTAGACTGAAAGATGAAATTTTTTTTGTATGATGTCAGAGAAAAGAACAATTAAATTGATATAGATACACATGTGTCTGGTGTTGCAAATGATTTTAACATAATGAATTTGGACCGAAGTCAGAACAGATATTTTCTGTGTTTAAATCATTCACTCCACTAGGTAATATGCTCTTGGCAAAACATTATCATCTATTTTGTCTGATTTACGCACGCCATAGAACGTTTTATCTAAACGTACTAGACTCTTCCATGGATGAATTTAAGTTATACTATATGATAATTAAAGTGTATATGCACATAAGATCTGAGTAATGAATGGTCCTTTAAAACTGAGTCACGTATAACCATATAAGGAAACTATCAGCTGTTAATTATGGAAAATGATACTCAGAAGCTGAGAACGAGTGGCTGACTTAAATCGTGACTCATGCGTAATTATCATTCTTTTCGTTATATTTCTATCTCCCGTTTGGAGTCGAATTTTGAAAAACGGCTTGCAGATGTGCACTCGTCACGGTCTCACGATTTCGGCAATCTTTTTCTCAGTTTGAAATGATCATTAGTTACAGAGAACGAGTGGCTGACTTAAATCGTGACTCATGCGTCGAGAACAAGGAGAAGAAGAAGAAGAAGAAGAAGAA